ACGCACCTTAATTTCAGACATCACCACGTTCTTCCTCGGTCTCGATGACAGGAGTTGGAAGGGAAGGACTTTGTGCTTTTCTCTGTCGAACGCCACCGCCTCGCAATCGATGATCATACTTTTCATGGGCTAAAAAAGGAATGATATCAGCGGAGCGAAGCAATTTTTGAACGACTCGAGCGAATTTCTTAATACCACAATTATGTAATATCATAGGATAAGAATTCCCATCGAACACACTATGAGATAGCAGAGATACTGTGCAGATTCAATACTCCCGTATGGAAAGAGCTAACGTCTATCAGGAACCTCCGAGGAAGCATAAAACGAATAATTCCACAGACGAGCTGGATGAAGTATACCAACCTTCTGATGCGAGGACTCGATCGTCCCAGCAGATGGGCGAACTGCACCCACCCAACGTGAAGGTCTCATTTTCAATGGACCCTGAGGAGGCTCACCTTGTCAAGCATATTCATCATCTCCTGTATAGCATCAATGACATCGGGGTATCTGCTCAATCTATTCACCATCGCGACGTCGATTGACTAATCTTACTTCTCAGTGAGGTCCTCACTATTCCTACTGTAAACTCTTATCTCTATCTTGCCCTTTTCTGTCGTCCACAAATGCACCTGGGCTCTTTCACCATCGTATCTGACCAGGATACCATCACATTCACTGGATGTGTGAATTGCTGTAATTCAATATACCATAAATTGCACGCATCGTCGTATTCAATTGTCAGCGACTTTCGAAACCAGAATTGATGAAAATGTCCTTTGGCCGAAGACAGAAGACCATCTAGGTCAAAAATGAACTCGAAAATTCCGTCACCAAATTATACGATTCCAATTTCAGCTCTTCAAACCGTTCCTCTGCGTACTTATATTCCGCCGTAAACTTGATGTCTTTGAAGCGGTCAAGAACCTGAATGAATGATGGTGATTCAAACATCGCCTTCAGTGTGGTTTTACTTCCGTTATCGACTTGTGGGTTTAGCGAGCATCGGCT